GAAGGATAGAAAGATAATATCTATGGGAAACCAGTTCTATCAGCCGATGAACTGCTTCATCGAATTCGTCAAGCAGCACCCGAAATATCCGATTTAAGTTTGAGACGTTTAAAATCACAATTTTTAAGAACGTGCAAGTTGTGTATAAGAGTCGGTGGTAGACATTTTTAAAATCTCTTGTGAGAATATTAATAATAATGATAATAATAGTCATTTATTTCAGCCAATATTTTCAATACAAGATGTTAATTTAATTTTCATTTAGTTAATTTCAGATGTTAATAATGATTCCTAATTCTTTAATTGATTCGAGTGTTGTAAAAATCAATGGAAATAAGAAAAATACAACCTAATGTTCTGTTCATTATTTTGATGCCTGCATATAACAATAAATAAAGAAGGATAATGGGTAGCTGTTTTAAACATTTGTTAAAATAAAAAGCTATTACAGCAACTACAAGGTTCTAATTTGGACACAAATTATTTTTTATTTGTAGCATTTCGCAAGTATTACGACTTTAATGACAAAAGTTGGAATTATTCAGTTTTTAGTAAAAAGAACCTACAAATATTATAATATATTTTAAAGAGCATTAAATAGCTAGTAAATCGTAAGCTAGAAGTTCTTTATATATATATACAGGGTGGCCAAACACGTGACGTCATAAAAAAAAAATAGATTCCCCACATCGAGAGGAACCCAAATCACCCCCATATATATGGTCCGATTTTGTTTAGTTTAGGAGTTATGATTTTTTTCAGATTTTTCGAGAATTTTTGAGTTCTGTGTTTATTTTTACCATAACTTCGTTAATAATTGTGATAAATGCCTGCTTTTTTCACGATTATGTAGCTAAGACCTAAGGCTTAACTATCATATAATCATTCAAGTCATGTAACTAATACTACTTTTTAATTTTTTTCAAAATCTTCGAACATAACAAAAAAGTAAAAAAGTGCAACAACTTTGAACGTTTATAAAAAATTGAAAAAACATGTTCTTACTATTCGTAAGTATCTTAAAAACTTCCTTACGGTATCAGCTATTTACCGAAAAAATTTCATCAACCTAGCTTTACTACATGCTACCGTAATTGTGGCTCAAATAGAACCGAACCCAAAATTGGATAACCCTCTGCTCAATAGAAATTGTTAGTTTCGGAAAAAAAAATTGCAAAAACCACAAAAACACGTTTGATTTTTACTGAACAGCAGATTATTATTCATTTATGTTATTTACAAGAGGTTTTCAAAATGTCTGCCTCTAACAGAAATGCACAGTGTACACCTACGTATGAAATTTTGTTTTAAATCTCTAAATGCTTGTGTGTTGTTTTTCAACACATGTGTCGCTTCTTGAATTTTGTTCCTCAATGAATTTTCATTTGCACATTCTTGGGCGAATGTTATGTCTTTAAAATATCCCCAAACAAAAAAATCAATGGGGTTGAGGTCAGGGGAGCGTGGAGGCCATCGTATCGGTCCGTTTCGTCCGATCCATCTGTCTGGGAACCTTTCGTTTAAGTAGTTTCGCACGATCGTTGCGTTGTGGCATGGTGCACCATCATTCTGGAACACCATGTTCCGTCTGGCTTCCAGGCTTGAATCTTCCTAATGGTAGGCTATTTTCAAGGAAGCTTTTGTAGGCTACCGAATCCAACCTTGACGGCAGTTCAAATGGACCGATAAATTCCGTATTGAATACTCCTGACCACATGTTCACACTAAAACGGTGTTGAAATGTCGACGGCCTTGACTGGTGGGGGTTTTCAACAGCCCAAGTATGTAAATTATGGATATTGAATATCCCTGTTCTTTCAAAACGGACTGACGAGTCACGTTTCATGAAGAATATTTTTTATCGATGTTCGTGGTATTCTAAGGTTTTGTGCCATAGATCTCGTACTCGTTGAGGGATTCCGGCTAATTTCTTCAAGTACTACTTCTCTGCGATCCGGATCAGCTGTAGGATATCCTTCATTGCTTCCTCGTCCTGGAATGCGGCCTGCCATGAAAGTGTTATGTGTGTTAATAAAAACACGGTGGTCTGGGTAATGCTCAGGTTGTGGTCCGCCTCGGCGTATAAGTTGTTCCCGGTACAGCTGAGCTGCTAAAGCGCCGTTGCCTTGAGCAACGCCATAATAATAATGCATCGACATTTCAACACCGTTTTAGTGTGAACATGTGGTCAGGAATATTCAATATGGAATTTATCGGTCCATTTGAACTGCCGTCAAGGTTGGATTCGGTAGCCTACAAAAGCTTCCTTGAAAATAGCCTACCATTATTGCTGGAAGATTCAAGCCTGGAAGCCAGACGGAACATGGTGTTCCAGAATGATGGTGCACCATGCCACAACGCAACGATCGTGCGAAACTACTTAAACGAAAGGTTCCCAGAGAGATGGATCGGACGAAACGGACCGATACGATGGCCTCCACGCTCCCCTGACCTCAACCCCATTGATTTTTTTGTTTGGGAATATTTTAAAGACATAACATTCGCCCAAGAATGTGCAAATGAAAATTCATTGAGGAACAAAATTCAAGAAGCGACACATGTGTTGAAAAACAACACACAAGCATTTAGAGATTTAAAACAAAATTTCATACGTAGGTGTACACTGTGCATTTCTGTTAGAGGCAGACATTTTGAAAACCTCTTGTAAATAACATAAATGAATAATAATCTGCTGTTCAGTAAAAATCAAACGTGTTTTTGTGGTTTTTGCAAATTTTTTTTCCGAAACTAACAATTTCTATTGAGCAGAGGGTTATCCAATTTTGGGTTCGGTTCTATTTGAGCCACAATTACGGTAGCATGTAGTAAAGCTAGGTTGATGAAATTTTTACGGTAAATAGCTGATACCGTAAGGAAGTTTTTAAGATACTTACGAATAGTAAGAATATGTTTTTTCAATTTTTTATAAACGTTCAAAGTTGTTGCACTTTTTTACTTTTTTGTTATGTTCGAAGATTTTGAAAAAAATTAAAAAGTAGTATTAGTTACATGACTTGAATGATTATATGATAGTTAAGCCTTAGGTCTTAGCTACATAATCGTGAAAAAAGCAGGCATTTATCACAATTATTAACGAAGTTATGGTAAAAATAAACACAGAACTCAAAAATTCTCGAAAAATCCGAAAAAAAATCATAACTCCTAAACTAAACAAAATCGGACCATATATATGGGGGTGATTTGGGTTCCTCTCGATGTGGGGAATCTAATTTTTTTTTTATGACGTCACGTGTTTGGCCACCCTGTATATAGGTTAAAAATTAAAGCTTCCGCCTTTTGTTGGGTACTTCGACAAAATTTAAGCAAAGAGGACTCTTTATACTTTTTTAATTCTCTCTAGCTTTCAATGGACTTTGCCATCATCATCAGGAGCTGCAATTACAATGATAACAGTAGCAACAAAAGTGTAAAATGAATTTAAATTGACTAGATTAGAGACCACTAATTTGTGCAATCATCAAGTGGCTTCACGATGTAATGCTTTAATTTTTTAAATAATTTTTAATCTGTTTTTAACTTGTTCTTGTCATATTTTATATAAGTTTAACTACTGTACAATCTATCCAGCTCTCACCATGTTACTGGACGTTTCCCTCATCCTATACGTAAACGACAATTAGCAACATCCTCACATACTACTCTCCTGATGATGATGGCAAAGTCCATTGAAAGCTAGAGAGAATTAAAAAAAGTATAAAGAGTCCTCTTTGCTTAAATTTTGTCGAAGTACCCAACAAAAGGCGGAAGCTTTAATTTTTTATATATATATATATATAACTGGCAAAAAATAAGCAAAAAGTCGTGATTTTTTTGAAAAGCTTAAAAGTGGCAATATCTCAAAAACTAGAAATTTTTTACTAAGGTGATGTTGAGTTTATCTGATTGATCTGAAGCGAATCTACCTCCCGTGTCACTCTGACGTGTTATTTCTGCGACACCTTGTATATGTAATTCCATTTAACGGCTAGAAAGACATAAGCTATTAAAAAATAGCTTTTGTCCACGGAAAGCGACTAGGCACTATTGAAATGATCCGAAAAATTGCTTAGAAGTTCAGTTTTTGAAACCGTATTTAGTGGAATATTAAGAGATTGACGATTTGAAACGCACGAATTGCTTTTTGATAAAAATGCACAATGCAATAGTTTAATCGACATAGTCAAATGGTAGGTAGTATGGACCATGTTTGAGAATAAAGTAAAAATCCTTTTTTACGGACATCCAGGGTGAAATATTCAAGCTAAATTTGCATACCAAATGCCGGTTCCCTTTGAAGCAGAACTCATGTTGTTGTATGACGTCAATTGATAGGATTAAATCGTTAAAAAAATACTGAAAAACCTGAATAAGGTGCATAGCAATAATTTTGGTTTTTATGTATACCATGTTTTGCTCCCTTTTCTGCAAAATAGTAAATACAAAGTATAACATAGGGAGTTGCACTTAATAAAATGCAAGGAAATAAAGAAACCTGCATCCGCCTGGAATTTTGAAATAGCAAAACATCTTTAGTTAATTATTTTGTATGATATTGATGAAGTTGAGAACCCTTGAAATTTTTAGTTTTGCGTCCTGCCGATGTACCGAAGAGATGTGCAGTGCAGTTCTTTTGCGTCTCTTCCAGATATAGTTCGAATCCGGTACTTGCCCAGAAAACTGGAAGTTTGCTTAAGTCCAATCCATCCCAAAAAATGAACTAAGACAGACGCTACAAGTCTATAGCTCTGCTCTGCTATAAGTAAGGTAACATTTCAATATTAAGCTTGAAAAATTAAAGAAAATCAAGTCCGGTCTCAGAGTTTTAGCAGTACTTTACGTTATACCTGTTATCGTGCAAAACTTCAACAAAATCGGTTCGATAGTGCTTGATTTTGAAGATTTGGCGTGTTTAGATAAATCACCTTGTATATCTGTGAAAACTGAATCTATAACTTTTACATTTTCAGATATCAGATTTCAGAATCTGTGTCCACTTAAGTACGTAATACCCTGTATATCTTTATGGTCTTATTGATGGTTAACATACCTCTACCTCACTTAACATAACAATCCCATCAAACCTCAAATTTCATTTATAAAATTTATTAAAAAAGATAAGATATATAAAACACACAACACATTTTAAATAAAAATAGGTACACAAGGGAGTTAAAATTACAACTGGAAATTCCTATGCAACGAGTGCGGGTGAGCGTAGTGCCCTGAATGGACGGACCTCGGTACGGTCCTCTGGGAGAACTGGGAATAGGTGTCATCTTGACCTGGATGCACCATCAATACTGGGTGGATGCTCATCGACTTCCTGGAACCTGCCACGCTTGCGGAGTCGTTCATGAAAGCACTGTTCATTTCACCTAAGAACAAACAAGACAAGTTATTATAATACTCCAGTCCCAAACTGTTTTTAGACCGATTGATAGAGCTTACTTTTCGTCAAAAGTATTCTCAAGAGGAGACTTGTATGCCTTTACTGCAACATCTATGGCTGTCATGATTGTTTGCTCACATTCCAGAAATGTCTTAAGATAAAAGGATATCTTTTCAAATTGCCAACGTTGCGGCGTTTATTTTTCGCCTTCTTCGAAACATTTGAACCAGTCACAAAATATGTCCCAAAGGATAACAAACTTCCCTTAGGTCAACTATGAAAAACAAAAATAATGAATATTCCATGAAAAACAATATAAGGTGATGCCAATTCAGACTGTTATTAGATGGCTTATTGCAACATTATAGTCTGTCGTCTATTAACAAAAACCCAATTAATTTTAGGGGTATTGTTATTGTAAGCCCGTCTTCATTGATTATGATTGACTTATTATGTCAATTATGTTTATTAAATGGTAAATGAACCTACATCTTAAAGCGTAGTTTAAGATGCAAGCTCATTCTTCATTTGAAAAACCTCATTGACATGATAAGTCAATCACAAGCAATTAAAAAACATGTTTAAAATAGCAATATCTAAAATCTTTTGGAAGTTTGTTAATTGGTGTTTGAAGGATATCTAGGAACAATGGCAACATTGAAATTTTGACTTATGCTTTATACGGAGTATTGAACTTGAAGAAGACAACAATATGTACGGGGTGGCCAATGTATAACTGACTGACTTTTTGATACACGCATTTCAGAAGGTGGCGCCGTAGTAGTGGTTTAAAGCACATTTATACAATTCATCATGGAACGCTACATGATCTAACAACGCGTCCGTATTGTTAAAACGTTTTACTTAAACAATGAGTCGATTGTTGCAATGATTCGGAAGATACGACAAGATATCGGTCTAAATAATGTGCCCAGTGTCAACACCATTCGTCAGTTGGTGGGGAAAGGTCGTGTTCGAACTGTTCGTACTCCGGAAAATATCGACAGAGTTCGTGAAAGTGTAGTGGAGCGCCCTAAGACGTCTACCAGATATCGTTCTCAAGAAATGGGTATTCGTCGCACGTCATCATGCACTATTTTAAAAAAAGGCTTGCATTTGCGGCCATACAAAATTCAGTTAACCCAAGAACTACAGCCTAGTGACCATGAAGTCGCCGTCAATACAGCCATGCAATATTGCACCTTAATACCCAAAATAACGATTTGTTAATAAGCAGAATTGTCATATCTGGGCATTAGAGAACCCTCGTGTCATACATCCTCGTCGAGTCACAGTTTGGTGCGCTGTTTGGTATGGAGGTGTCATTGACCTTAGTTCTTTGAAGACGCTGCAGGTAATTATCTTACTGTCACTGGCGAGCGCTACCGCGATATGGTGCAAAACTCCTCAAATCCAACAATTTAACCTGCAACACTTGTGGTTCCAGCAGGACGGAGCAACTTGTCACACAGCTAAGGAAACAATGAATCTTTTGCGAACAATATTTCCGGGACGTTTAATTTCTCGATTTGGTGACCACCAAGATCACCGGATTTAATGGCTATTGACTTTTTTATGGGGATTTTTGAAAAATAGGGTTTAACAAACCAAATACTGTAGAGCAGCTGAAGAAAAATATTATGGAAGTGATTGACAATACTGCTCCGAAACCTACCAACAAGTGATAACATTTGTCTGATTTTATTTTTCATACATAATTTCTAAGTTTCAATAAAAGATTAAGATGAAAAAAAAATGGACGTATTTTATTTCATTTCACAAATATTCAAGATACAAACCAGTCAGATACATATCGGCCACCTTGTATATTATAATTTAATTGTTTTAACGAGTATGCCAGAATTGGATTATTTGAAAGAATACTAATGCACTGGTCGAAATTACCGCAATAAGCAGATACTATGATAATGATAACTAAAGCAGTACTGGAAATATTGAAGAAAATTTAAAAAGAAAAAGAACTTCAACTACTTCTGTCAAAGATTCATGCCGTTGTGGGCATATGATTCGGAAGTGTATTAATGAAATGACCTTAAGAATCGAGCTTTGAAAAATTAGCACATGTTGTAGGTAGCATTCTTTATATGGGTGATTTTTTTGCTAGTATCTTGTTGGCAACACTGTTTTTGACAGATGACGCGTGAATCGTGTCTTGTGTCATTGTCAAACTTGTTCAGTTTGGTCTATAATTTAACCATGAATCGACTTACGAACGAACAACGCTTGCAAGTTATTGAATTTTACAATCAAAATTCATGCTCGGTTAAGAGAGTGCATCGAGCACTGCTTCCAATTTATGGGCAATTTGGTCGGCCTACTGAGGGAGCTATTCGGAAGCTTATGACTAAATTTCGAACCCAGTTTACATTATTGGACATTAAACCACCAAAACGCAGACGTAGAGTGAGCACTGAAGAAAATATTGCGGCTGTATCCGCCAGTGAAATGTCGATTCGCCGCCGTTCGCAGCAATTGGTCCTCTGTTATTCCACTACGTGGAAAATTTTGCGACAGGATTTGGGTGTAAAAGCTTATAAGATACAGCTGGTGCAGGAATTGAAGCCACACGACCTCCCACAATGTTTCCCATTTGGTGAATGGGCGCTGGCAAAGTTGGAGGAAGATCCACATTTTTATCGAAAAATTGTGTTCAGCGACGAAGCTCATTTCTGGTTGGATGGGTACGTTAACAAGCAAAATTGCCGCATATGGAGTGAAGACCAGCCAGAAGCATTGCAAGAGCTACCAATGCATCCCGAAAAAATCACTGTCTGGTGTGGATTATGGGCAGGTGGCATCATCGGGCCGTACTTCTTCAAAGACGACAATGGCCGGAACGTAACTTTGCCCAAAATGGAATAGCTGGACTTGGCTGACATGTGGTTTCAACAAGACGGTGCCACATGCCACACCGCACACGAAACAATGGCCCTATTGAGAGGCGAGTTCGGTGAACAGTTTATCTCACGTTTGGGGCCCGTCAATTGGCCGCCTAGATCGTGTGATTTAACGCCGTTGGACTATTTCTTGTGGGGCCATGTTAAGGCTAATGTCTACAGGGATAAACCAGCAACGATTGACGCACTGGAAGCCAATATTGAAGCATTTATTCGTGAGATACCGGCCGATATGTTGGAGAGAGTGTGCCAAAATTGGCCCTTGCGCATGGGCCATCTAAAGCGGAGCCGCGGCCAACATTTACATGAAATAATCTTTAAACATTAAATTATATCGACCGTTCTATCGACTCAAATAAAGATTTAATAGTTTTTTCAAATTTTTTGTGTTTTTTTTGAAAATCAAATCCTATACCTCTTAAGAAATCACCCGTTATTTATGACCTTACCTTTAAATATACTGGGAGCTGTTGAGTAATGTGGATCTGCCTGTAACCTGCAATTACATGGAAATGTATGGTTAGTGAACTGTAAGGTCAATAAACCTACCGGAGACCATAGTGAAAACAATAAATGTTTTGCATGGACGAGCACACACTATATGCTTTTCAAGGAAATTTTATAACTGAATTTTCATGCACGCTTTTTAAACATGTATTTTCTTTAATATGGGGTGAAATAAAATTAGATGTCTGATAACATTGAATCGGTCATTTCCAAAACCACATATTTTCCAAAATTCTTTTTTTGCAGCTTCCCTAAAGGTATACACGTCGTATTCTAGGCCTAATCGACGTAAATTAATGCATTTCTTCCTCTTTATTATAATACCACGTAGTGCAAGTACAAAGTATGTCAAGTCACATGTCTTGCATGCACTACTCGACGGCGGGTATACTTGAATGGGTCATTCCAAAAACAATACCAGGATACTTAGTTTAATTTGTTTCAGTAGACCGAACTACAAACCTCGGATCGCGGGCGAATACAATATCCACTTTGCCTTATCCGCTTTGCTCAAAAACACTTATTTAATAGTTTCCGCATTTCCTGCTAAAACCGTTGAATCCACCCCCCTCATCTGTGTGACTAAAAGAATCCTTTAAGCGTACTCTAAAAATTAAAAAATTTGCTCGTACAGATATTTAAAAAAAAAACGGAATTACACGCACAACACCTATCTTGCAGTCATTTTTTTTTTTTGTCGAAAGGTTCTTCTACGGCCAATTTTCATTTATTGGAAGAGTTTGAACGAATTAGAGTATGTACTTTCACACAATGGCCGATTCATCCTTCAAAACATGCGAACTAAAAAGTAAGTGAATATTTAAGTGTAATTTTCAATAATAAGCTATAAAAAATATGGTTAGCGTGATTCTTTTACTCAAATTTTATATGGCTACTTCTTGCTAAAACAAGTCCAGAACAGTTTTTCTAACATTTTAAATTATTATTATGTATTCTCAAAACTGTACAATTTATACATTCTTGGGATTCGGTCAACGTCAAGCATTTATTAAAAGTACGACATTTCGACTACTTTAAATGCCAAATTCATGTACATGTGAGTTTCTGAAACTAAACGAAAACGTCAGAAATTCAACACAAAACAACATTTCTGCCAGATGCATGCTGGTAGTTAACGACTGGCGATAAATATTTTTTAGTAAAATGAAAACAAGACAAATGTAAAAAATACTCACAAGAATATTGTCTTTGTATATTGAGAGGGTGGTATGGGGGTGTTTCTTATATATATATACGAGTATATATATATATATATCCAATCAATTGTTAATTGAGAAATTGGAAAAATTTTTTAGGCTTTAGTAAGCTCTTTTAACGGAAATCTCGAGCTTTCGGCATTTTCTATGGAGCCATCTTCAGGAGCTGAAAATACAAATATGATGCTAGCAACCAATACGGGAAGGATTTGGTTGCTAGCAACCCAATGTGTCCGTCCTTTTCGTTTTATATTTGTAACATTCACGCTTTCATTTTGAAACACCATTTGGCTCCAACCCCAACGACGAGTAAGTTGTCTGATAATTCAAATCCTTCCCGTATTGGTTGCTAGCATCATATTTGTGTTTTCAGCTCCTGAAGATGGCTCCATAAAGAATTCCGAAAGCTCGAGATTACCGTTAAAAGAGTTTACTAAAGCCTAAAAAAATTTTGATAATTTCCCAATTAACATTTTTTTTTTTGCCCAACTGGTCGTTGTTCTTGTCATAGAGCTGTGTGTAGTTTGTATAATTTTGACCATTGTACCATGTTTCCAGCTTTCACCATGTTACTGGGTGTTTCCCTCATCCTTAACGTTAATAACATTTAGCAACATCCTCACATACTACTGTAAGTTAATTTAAATTCATTTTACACAATTGTTGCTACTTTTATCAATGTAATTGCAGCTCCTGATGATGATGGTAAAGACCATTAAAAACTAGAGAGATTAAAAAAGTATAAAGATTCCTCCTTGCTTAAATTTTGTCGAAGTACCCAACAAAAGGCGGAAGCTTTAATTTTCACCTAACTGGTCTAGACGACAATGACCACGTCTCAGGTTACATATATATATATATATATATATATATATATATATACAGGGTGACTTTGAAGTTGAGTCATTAATTTTCAGATAATGATTGTAGAAGGAAGATAAACCAAAATATGTGTGTAAAAATAAAAAAAAAATAAAAAAAATGTTTACCTTGTTTTATAAAGTATCCTCCCGACAAGTATTTCAGTGCGGACCTGTATTTGATCGTGAGGTCCCCTGTGAGGTCTTAAGTCACCTGATTCATGAGCCCGTTGTACTACATTAACAAAGGCACGAGGGGTTGGTTGCACTCGATGAGAAACCGATCCGCATAAACATGTGCCATTTTTTATTTCGTTTGAGCCACGCAACAGACACTATTCACACGCGTTACCGACTGACACTAACTGTATGTATAACTGAACTGAATAAAATAATTGTAAAAACATCGTTCCAAATTCTTTCGCTTTTTTGTTTCCGATGCGATGAACCGATAAGGCGGATTATATCCGTTGTTGCCAAACACGAGCACATGATATTATTATTGAGACAGGGCGGTACTCAAACTTCCAAAGGGCTTTTCCTTTACCATTTTTCTGGTGAAATTAAAGTCACAAAGTTATAGCCCTTTGGAAGTTTGAGTACCGCCCTGTCTCAATAATAATATCATGTGCTCGTGTTTGGCAACAACGGATATAATTCGCCTTATCGGTTCATCGCATCGGAAACAAAAAAGCGAAAGAATTTGGAACGATGTTTTTACAATTATTTTATTCAGTTCAGTTATACATACAGTCAGTGTCAGTCGGTTACGCGTGTGAATAGTGTCTGTTGCGTGGCTCAAACGAAATAAAAAATGGCACATGTTTATGCGGATCGGTTTCCCAATCGAGTGCAACCAATCCCTCGTGCCTTTGTTAATGTAGTACAACGGGCTCGTGAATCAGGTGACTTAAGACCTCACAGGGGACCTCACGATCAAATAGGTCCGCACTGAAATACTTGTCGGGAGGATACTTTATAAAACAAGGTAAACATTTTTTTTTATTTTTACACACATATTTTGGTTTATCTTCCTTCTACAATCATTATCTGAAAATTAATGACTCAACTTCAAAGTCACCCTGTATATATATGTTTATATATATATATATATATGTTTATATGTGTTTATTTTGAAATAGTCTGGTTCTTTGTCTAGAATTTGTGAAATCAAATTCATGCTGATTGTCAATTTTGGTTAATGCGGTGGATATACTATTTTTATTTCTTATCCATACTCATGTTTTTATACATCTTTTTTATATATTGTTTAGTCTGTCCTATATATGAACTTAGGCAATCCTTGCAAATTGTTTTGTAAATCAATTTGCTTTGCAGATATTTTTCGATTAGGGGCTTTAGGTTTGTTTTACATAGTTATTGCAGACCTGCGGCATAATCCAGAACTTCATACCTATACACAAAACCATACTAAATATGCAAACGGGCCAATCGGATTCTCAGCCCTCCTCCACGTCCTGACCTTGTTACTTAGTTAAGAGCAAAAACTCAAATCGTTTCCAAACTTTGTTATTGTATGTTTGAACTCTTATTTACGTATTTGTTTTTGGAGGACTCAAGATTCCTAAAAATCACGAAACGTATTCCACAGTTTTTTAAGCTTTCGTTCATTTTAAGGTGTAGCCAAAAATTTTCTTCATAAACTTCAGAATGTTCAAATAAAAAAAGCAATTTTTGTACCGAAGATTTTTATTTAGCGGTAATTCAGTTTGTAACACAAGTTGAGCGATATCTTGAAAATTTGTTTCACTAATAAACTTTATTTAACATTTCATTCTTTTGAAACTAAAAACTTGTTTACTTTTCAATGACATAGTTTCTATTGTCTCCTGAGGAATTCAAATTGTGTGAGATACGAGGTTTTTGAAATAGCCGATTCAATTTTATCCATATTTCAAACGTCATTTTCCAGACATTGTAATCAAATCCAAGCGAATAACCAAAATTTCTGTGTTATGTGCCGCGGTTATAATATGGTTCAAGATGACACACGGGTTGATGACGTCAGTTACACGAATCGCTTGAACGCGTTGGTTTTAACCGCGGTTTTGTTGCAAGTTGTTTATTTTAGAAAAGCGCGTATACAATCTCTGATTATTTTTATTATCACTTAATAATCGGGGCTTTTTCGTCTACAACTGTGTATGGAAGGTTTAAATAAGAAACCTTTCATAATATTGATGGGAGAAATGTTTCTTTCAGATTTTTTTTTAATGATGGAACCATGGCTTTGTAGCTATGATAACTTTCAATTCTCTAAATTTTTCCGCATGTCAAAGAAAACATTTATTGATTCAGCAGAAATGATGAAAAAAGAAATTAGCAAAACCGTATACAGGTGGATATCATCTAGTGACTTTATATGGCCATATTTTAATATTCTTGTGGTATATGGCTACAAAGGATACTTTGTTAAGCATAGTAACTACATTTAAAGTGTCCCCAACAACCGTAATGAGTATAACTAATAAGGTGCTCCACTTTATGGTAAAACTGAAGTCAGCCTGTATCATTTTTCTCAAAAATGAAGCTGAAGTACAATAACAATATCCAATACCCGGCAAATTTCTAACTTGTCACATTTCAAATAATAACCAGAAATATAAAACTACTCTTGAGTTAGGTAAATATCACAATTTTGCGGTGATAACTATGACACATAACAGCTGATTCGTGACGTCACGGATCTTATAACCAAACTGATAATTACACTCGCTTGAACGGATCGGTAAATACCAACCCAAAATGGTAAATACTATTTCCGTTTGGTTATCCGGTTGAATTTGATTAATATGATCTGTCTATAGTTATACCATTACTCAATGATTAATTGAAAGAGCACGTTGGTACCAGTTGATAGGTGACGCTGACAAGCGTTAGACACATTAGATGTTTACATTTTTGAATGAGGCATAATCGAGGGTGAAATTTATTGAAATATCACAATACTTGAGAAAGGAAAATATGCTGAACTTTGTAGAAAAAAATAGTATGATCTTTTTATGTACTCAAAACCTCATCGTGACGAGAAGCCACTTAAAACCCATTTATGCCTAATGTATATGAATAGTACAGCCTAAACTTGTTTGTTCCTGTAGATATCTGTACGATTTGGTTAAATTGAATAGCTCGCGGCGACAGTTTGCTGGTGGATCTCGTACAGTACGGAGTAATTTTGCGTATTGTGCAATATTTTGTATATTGGAAAATAGAAGATGACTGAATATGGCGTGCGCTTTGTAAAGTAAGTAGGTTTTTTATGACATAAAATAAAAAAAAAACTAGTTTATTTTTATGAAAATATTTCCTTAGTTGCGGCTTCTATATTTTATGATTTTATGATGTGTTTCATTTATGCTTTGTTTGTGAGGTTATGATAAAGTTAGGTGTACTATATTTAGTACATCAGGAAAAAAGGGGTCTACGAATATGTTCACAGTCAAAACAAAAATAAAATGGTTTTAGGTAAATTATTTTTGAATAAGTAATTATTTTGAGACGGAACATTTGTTTCAGGAGTTTTTCTTTGCATGAGGCGCTAGCAATGATAGAAGATGACGACATTGAAGCTGAGTCACTTTGTTACCTCCCACTAATGCATGTGGTAACATAACCGACGAGGATTCTGGAGACGAAGAAAGACTGGGTATCAACAACTTGCCAGGAAGCTTAATGCAAGCTGAGGTCGAAGTAAATAAGAATCAAAACGAGGATATGTGTTCAGAAGATGAAATACCACTCAGTGAAATAAGGAGTAATAATCGGAAGGAAGTGAAAAAGAAGAAAACATATAATTACGTAAAAGAAGATTTGCCAAGAAATGGGTATGCGTTTCCAATAAACAACGAAAATCAAAATGAACAAGAAGAGCCCCAACCGAGATATTTTTTAATTTTTTTGAACATAATAGTTGAGGAGACAAATCGGTATGCTCAACAGGAAAACAGGAATATTATGGTTACCAAATCTGAAATCAAATGTTTTCTAGGCATATTATTGTTGAGTGGCTACAGTAGTGTATCTCGCAGAAGGATGTATTGGGAAAAATCCTGTGATTCACACAACTCACTTGTTTCTGAAGCTATTTCTCGCGATAAATTTGAATTTATAATGTCTCACATTCACTTCCTAAACAATGAAGCTCTGGATGCAAATGATAAATTTGCTAAACTAAGGCGTCTTTTCAATCACCTAAATAAAAATTTTTTGGAATACGCAGTACCAGAAGAGCATCATAGTATTGATGAGGCAATGGTTCCAGACAACGGGCGACATGGTTGTAAACAGTATATCCACGGAAAACCAATACGTTATGGGTTCAAATTTTGGGTTGGCGCTACTACTCTTGGTTAGATCTTATGGTTTGAACCTTATCAGGGTGCTTTGTCGTATGTGAACGCGGCTTACAAATCTTTAGGTGTTGGCGCATAAGTTGTATTGAGCTATGCTGATAGGCTAAAAAGCAAATGGGCAAATCTTAGGTTTCATTTTGTATTTGATAATTTTTTTCTTCGCCAGCTTTGTTTGAAAGCTTGACTGAAAAAGGCATATGTGGTACAGGAACAATTCTTGAAAATCGTATACCCATGTCCCCAAATTCAAAACTTATGAAAAAGGAACAACGTGGAGTGTTTGATTATACCAAAGTAAATGATAAAAACTCAATTTTTGTAAAATGGAATGACAACAATATTGTAACTTTTGGGTCTACAGCGATTGGAATTGAACCAGTAAATTCATTAAAGCGGTATTCTCAAAAAGAAAAAAGTTTGTGTATGTAGATTAGCCTCAAGTTGTCAAGCTGTATAATAAATGTATGGGCGGGGTGGATAGGTCAGACCAGAATATAGCTCAATACAGAGTACAAATCCGAGGCAAAAAATGGTATTTCTCGCTGATCTCTCAATGTGTAGATATGGCCCTGAGAAACGCCTGGCATATTTATAAAAAGAGAGAAAATAACGAAGAAGTGTAGCTACAACTATCTTGACACAAAATAAGAAGACTTATACGTACCAGCAAGGTAAATCAAGAAATTTTGGTGACATAAGGTATGATCGCTTAGATCATTTAGTCATTCCACAAGGCAAACAAACAAGGTGTGCACACTGTCATAACCGCACGACTACTAGATGTAGAAAATGTGATGTCGGCATTCACGTGAAATTTTTTGTTCAATATCATACTCTTTAAAATTTGCAATATTGATGTGTTTCAAAATATTTGTACTATTTTCAATATTTTTTTTATTATTATTCTTATAGCTACCTGTATTCCTAATGTACTATGTATAGTACATCTTAAAAAACTTACTGTTTATGTATTTTTTTTTTAGAATAAATTGAAAATACCTCCAAAGTGACGTTTTTTAATAAGGTTTTTTAAAAAATAATAAAAAAACTTTTTTGCAACTCTTTAGGCATAAATGGGTTAAAACGTGGAATTTTCAAAAATTAATTTCAATTTTAAGGCAATTATTTCAGATTTACTAATTGATTGTAATAATTACATTATATTGGTATCTACCTGATATGTCTGGTGGCCAAAATAAAAGCCAAAGTGGACAGTATAACAGCATCCAAACATCCTATGGCAGCGAGGAGGTATGCCCACCGGATCCTGCAAGATCCGAGAGAGTACTTGTCTGATGCGGGACCACAAATCTTACGAGCTGATTCGTCCGCCCATCCTGCTGGGAAGACTGAACATCCTGCGATCATACAGGCAGCTAGAACAAAAAAATTACGTCAAGTAGGTCGAGTCTGCACTTCTCACGCAACGCCGATTTCCGTTCATAAAGGATTATGTAAGGCACAAGACCTTCTCAGAAAAAAGTAGGTTACAAACATGTATAACTGAGAAATTAAACTAATCAAGTCAGTTAAACACGCCCATAAATTAGTTCATAGACATTCTTTCCCTACCCTACCGGTAGTACCATCCATCAGGCAGGTAGTACCATATCTGACCACACGTCATGTCACACGCGGCAGTAATGGTAAGACACTTATCGATACCGGGACGCCCGGAGGTCAACCAAAAGAGCATAAGGGGAAATCTATGATGTGTGAAAAATGTTTAATAACGGGTGATTTTTCAAGAGGTATAGGATTTGATTTTCAAAAGAAACACAAAAAATTTGGAAAAACGATTAAATCTTTATTTGAGTCGATAGAACGGTCGATATAATTTAATGTTTAAAGATTATTTCATGTATATGTTGACCGCGGCTCCGCTTTAGATGGCCCATGCGCAAGGTCCAATTTTGGCACACTCTCTCCAACATATCGGCCGGTATCTCACGAATAAATGCTTCAATATTGGCTTCCAGTGCGTCAATCGTTACTGGTTTATCCCTGTAGACATTAGCCTTAACAAGGCCCCACAAGAAATAGTCCAACGGCGTTAAATCACACGATCTAGGCGGCCAATTGACGGGCCCTAAACGTGAGATAAACTGTTCACCGAACTCGCCTCTCAATAGGGCCATTGTTTGTGTGGCATGTGGCACCGTCTTGTTGAAACCACATGTCAGCCAAGTCCAGCTCTTCCATTTTGGACAAAAAAATGTTTGTTATCATCGCACCGTAGCGCTCGCCATTCACAGTTACGATCCGGCCATTGTCGTCTTTGAAGAAGTACGGCCCGATGAGGCCACCGGCCCATAATCCACACCAAACAGTGATTTTTTCGAGATGCATTGGTATCTCTTGCAATGCTTCTGGCTGGTGTTCACTCCAGATGCGGCAGTTTTGCTTGTTAACGTACCCATTCAACCAGAAATGAGCTTCGTCGCTGAACACAATTTTTCGATAAAAATATGGATCTTCCTCCAACTTTGCCAGCGCCCATTCACCAAATTGGAAACGTTGTGGGAGGTCGTGTGGATTCAATTCTAGCACCAGCTGTATCTTATAAGGTTTTACACCCAAATCCTGTCGCAAAATTTTCCACGTAGTGGAGTAACAGAGGCCCAATTGCTGCGAACGGCGGCGAATCGACATTTCATGGTCATCACTAACACTGGCGGATACAGTCGCAATATTTTCTTCAGTCCTCACTCTACGTCTGCGTGTTGGTGGTTTAATGTCCAATAATGTAAACTGGGTTCGAAATTTAGTCACAAGCTTCCGAATAGCTCCCTCAGTAGGCCGACCAAATTGCCCATAAATTGGAAGCAGTGCTCGATGCACTCTCTTAACCGAGCATGAATTTTGATAGTAAAATTCAATAATTTGCAAGCGTTGTACGTTCGTAAGTCGATTCAGGGTTAAATTATAGACCAAACTGAACAAGTTTGACAATAACGCAAGACACGATTCACGCGTCATCTGTCAAAAACAGTGTTGCCAAAAAGATACTAGCAAAAAAATCACCCAGTAGATGCGAAAAATTACCGGGGTTGGGCGCAAATAAATATACTAAAATCCAAAAATTGATACATACCCTCCCCCACCCCTTACAATCTCAAGCCCCCAATTTCAACCCCTCCCTACAAAATGTTTTCTAAAAATGATTAGGAGGCTATGAAACGTCAAAAACGAAGGTGGGTGATTAATATTATATATTATACAAATCAAATGAAATCTGATAATAACTAAGGTTTGACAACGACAATGTGTAACGTATTATTCATTTTTGAAATCAGAATTAAAAACTCTATTTATCTGTTCAAAAGTCCAATATGGCGTCGATAAGAAAAAATATAGTTGCTGCTGGATGACAAGAGACGAAATGTCATATTGAAATTCTAATTATGCCTTCTTGAAGAGGAAAAAAGGTGGCAAAGTTAATGTGCAATTTATTTTGAAATCCCACTACAAATAAAGTCAGGAAAAAATTAAAACCATTTTGGGAAACTTGGGTTTTTCCCGTCTCTCTATGGAAGTATATTGAACTTTGAGACTTTCTAAGAGGCATTTTCTTAGTCACCTAAATACGCAACTTTACATCCATTTAACCAACTTCGTATATGTTACAGTCTCTGAGATTGCAATGGTGAAGGTCGAATTTGAAATCTCTAATCATTGCGATATGGAATTCTGGTGCGGAGTGATATGTATAGCAATGTTTTAAGACAATTGAATTAAAAAATATAAAAATATTTAATATTACATCGTAATACATATAATATGTTCCTAAAATTAAAAATTAAAATATTTGTAAATCATCAATATAATAATAGTAACTAACGTCTTTTTAAATAGAAGTATTTGCAAATCATCAGTATAATACTAATAATAATAATAATTACCGTCTGTTTTATTTACAATATTATTACAGGAGGCGATATTTAGATTCTGTATACATTCTATCAGCTAACCCTCTTAAAAATACGAGATGTTTATAACAAGATGTAGAAGCCATCTAGATCTTTTGATACCAATGAGCCATAGAAATATCAATCAACGTTATTTGACATATCTTGGCTCTTAAATATACGACTATAACATTCTAGCTTCTCCATCACTGGACCGATTTAATTTCCAAAAACAACAAAGCTGTTTCGTCCTTGGCACATTAATATCCTTGTGTGAAAATTTCATCCAAATCCGAGAAGCGCTTTCCAAATTAAAAAAATAAATGACATGATCTTTTGTGATATACAGGTCATATAACATCCAAGAAGCAATATCTCATTTTCGGATTTTTTCGCGATTACATTACTTCCTCGCCAGCTGGAGTGAGAAATAAAAATCGTCAGCAATTCTATGTGTAATTCAAATTGAAAGCTTCATAAGAGAGCTTACCGATGATGTAGATTTCAAGCGGTCAAAATATGTTCAAGAAGTTGAAAATTGGTAAAACGGTCCAGCGGTGCAGCGCCTTTATGCTTATTATCAGTAGCAATGGCTGCCAGTTTGACAGAAACTTTAAGTTGGCTGTCAATTTAATAGTATGTTAATTAATGGTGCGAACTGTCAAAGCGATTCCAAGGCAACGGCTATTGGACATAAAAGCGCTGCGTTGCTAAACCGCTTTATAGTGGAGCCTATATACCAGAGCTGCTTTCCAGTAGTTTTTGGTTTGAGCGTGATATGCTGTCCAACTGCTGTAGGAAGTGTGTATGTGAATACAAAGTACAGTGTAACTCCGAGTAACTCAGATGGGTCACTGGAAAGCAGCTCTGAAGAAACTGATATCCGTACTGTGAAAACGACTCCGAAACGTGACGCCTGGAGTAACAGTGGTGCTCTGACAGGGTTGCCATATTGGAAGATTTTCCCCCCAGGATGGGAGATTTTTACTTGGTAAATTTTTTGGGGATAGCTTTGCAGAGAATCATTCCTTTGCGGATAGAAGGCTTCCCCCCGCTCTTTGAAACAAACTTAGCCCTTTCCATTAATTAACTGTGATTTGTTTTTTTCAAGTAGCAGTTCCGAGGAAGGAAATTCTGTCCGACCCATCTGACAACGCTGTGCTTTGACAGATCCGCCATATCATCACATTTCTTATAGTCTAAGGTCCAGCCGTTTAAATATGCGGTTATGTTTTTTGATAAAACTTAATTTTTATTGATGGGAAATAATAGATTACCACAGGGTTGCCTGCCCGTCTATAACCTCAGATGCCCTGTGCATGCGCACTAGCTGGTACTCGCTCCGATCACTGCGCCCTTTAGTGAGGTGTCAAGTTTTGGGTCGTGTCTTGCTTATTTCTCCAGTTCTCTTGGTGTAAGCGCTCCATGATCAGTAGCCATAAGACAGCTTTGTCCGTTTGACAGCAGCTTTCACTTGGCTGTCAGATAGTATGTTGAGTAGTGTTGCTGTCAAAGCGATTCCACGGCATAAAATCAGTGCGCCGCTGGACCGCTTTATGTTGGCTGAACGTTCCCATTCTTCTATGATACAAAAGGCCAAACTCCAAGCTTGGTCTATAAAATAGATTATCTTGCGGTCGAACCTATGTGGTGCTGAGAAAATTGTAAATATGCGGCAATATCCACTCTCGCATGGTTTTTACAGAAAGCGACCGATACTGTAAAAGTCGCACAAAGATCGTATAAAGAACGTTGCTCTCTCTCATTAACAATTGAAACAATGCAATCAGGTACCATATTAGGTACTGGTGCGGTGCTGTATTAGGCATCATCATCATGGGAACGTTTCCCATGTGATGCTTGTTAACAAAGATGTCCGTTAGCATATCAAGGTGATGATAGGAATACGGTTACATGATAATGAAGCCTTTGCAGAATTTTATCGTAAGATCGTGGTCTTATGAGTCTGTTAATTTGCTTTGCATACACGTTGGAAGTATTATAACGGAATATAACAACAAATTTTCATAATTGGATTATTAAGTTCATGGAGGAAAATTAATCACTTTGTACATAATCGTTTCGTGTATGTACTTCGAAGAAAACAAAATGACGAGGAATGGCTACTGAGGAGCACTATGTTACTAACCGCTGAGATGATTATACAGGGTGCGGCAGAGAGGACGGACGTTTTTGGGATGGGTAGTACTCTCCGCCTCCGTCTGCGAGAGAGGTGGGGAGGGTGCCGTTTAACTCGTGAGATCCTAGCATTATTTTACCAGTTGTCGTTATGGAGCCTTGGATGGTGGAGCACCGCGTTTTCGCCTATGAGTGACGAAGCCCACTTTCACCTAAACAGCATGGTTAACCAGCAGAATTGTCGTTATTGGCCTAATGAAAATCCGCAACAGTTACACGAATGACCGCTGTATCGCAAAGTTGCATCATTGGCCCTTACTTCTTCGAAG